CTTTAATTCTCTAATTTTGGTGAATATTTTTGTCAATTTTGGTAAAAAGTGATATTTTCGACTTCTTGTTAAAAACCAAAAGTTCAATTGCTTTGATATTACTTATATAAATACTACATGTAGACCTTTCTCAGATTTGTTCATTTCGTGATGATATCTTCAATTTTCTAATTTTGGTGAATATTTTTGTCATTTTTGGTAGAAAGTGATATTTTCAACTTCTTGTTAAAAACTGTAAGTCCTGTTGCTTTGATACTATACATATTGTTCATTTTCTAATGATGTCTTCAGTTCTTTAATTGAAATGTGCATTGCTAACGTTCCGTAGAAGCTTTCAGCGGGCAATATTGTATAGCAGCAGTAAAAACTGAAAGTGGTGAAGAGAGTACTGTACAGTGATGTGTATCTATATTGTGCCAGAAAAACCCTCAAAGGCATTTTAAAGAAATAAATGATCAAATAAATTTAATGATTTTTATAGACCTTTCTCTATACATGTAAAATGTCAGACTATCAATTGGTATTGTCAGAAAACAATTGTGTGTAAGGACCGCAGGGACATTGACATTGACATTGACATTGAGGTGAAGTAATCTAACTATATAGGATATTTTGAACTTGCACTGGAAAATATGCTGAGGAAATTGTTTTGTAAGCAGCAAAGATTACACTGGAAGGGGGGGGGGGTCCCTGTGAACCTAATCATGATCATTTCTTGTGACAAATATTAATCAAAATTTGCAGTGTTGGTAAATGTGATAATTAATAACATATAACACTCAACCTTTTTACCACAAGTTCACAAAATGGTCCCATTTTATGGTTTGCACTTTCCTTCTAAAGACAAAAATGGACAAATTTAAAAAAAAAAAGTTAAAGCTGAAAATTGCCTCAAATTTTGTTTGTTGGCTCCAAAAATAGGGTCCATTTCCAGAAATATTGAAGAAAATAAGAAAAAAATGCTAACAAATTTAGGCGAGCAAGTCTGGTAAAAAAAACGTTTTCCATATACCTGTAATTTTTACTGATTCTTGTCAAGATCTTGAGTAAATGTCAATATAAAATTTCAATTTACAACATTTTCTCGTGACAACAAGAGCATAGTATACATTATTTTTTTGTGTCTTCATAATTAATTTCAAAAAATGCATTTTTAGCGTGTGAAGCGAAGGTTCAATATGAGGACAACTCGCATATTTTATAGATATTAATCTCGTCATATTTGTCTCTAATATGTGTAATAGATTCTATTTACTGAAAAGCAGCAGCTTTTTTATGGTATCAATACATGTCATGAATAAACAGCTCTGTGGTATTTTTTTTGTTTCCCTACTGTCAAGAATTCCTTTTTAAAACCCGTAGAGATAATATTAAGTAGTTGTTTTACCGGCACATTCAAACTGTTAGACACCCAATGTGCATTTCAATTACAAATAATTTTATAGTTTATTTATAATAACTCAAAGCTGTGCCTACATCTATAAAGTATTGTTGTGTTGATCTCTTCCACTGTACTACTGACACATATCAGATTTTGTGCTGTACATTGGTTGTATTCTAAATCTGTTGGTGTTTTATAAAGCGCCATATGTGTGCTGCAAGCAAGTCGCTTGAAGAATTTATATTCTAAAATTCTAGAATCACCGATTCAAAGGTAGATAAAAATTAAGGGCATGCAGCTTTTGTAACCATGCACAGTGATATGCTATTGAACTCACACATCATCGCATCAGACAAGTCGGTCTGACCAATAGCATCCCAGAATGTCACAGATGCTTATCAGTAATCATGGAAAGGTATGATTGTACTGAGAAACAGAAATAATCAAGGGTACAAGATTCAATGTCATTGCTATATGTGAGTATACAATGTAATCTGTGTGTATAAACTTTCAAGCTGGTTTTCAACTGGTTTTGCCTTTTCAAAAAAACTGATAATTTTTCAAGACAAATTTAGGCAGAATACTTCAATTTATGTTTTTAAAAACTAGTAAAACAAGCTCTAAGCCAGGTTAATGCTAGCTACATGTTAAGTTGTGCTCGGACTGTACAATTAATGATTCAATGTAATCCTATAGAATCTCAATGTGACTGATTAAATGTGATTATATTTGATTCAATGTGATTTTATGATTAAATGTGGTAATATGATTCAATATGATTTTAATGTGACTGATTAAATGTGATTATATACGATCTCAAAGTGACTATGATTGAATGTAATTCTATTTGATTAAATGTGATAATATGATTCATTATGATTTTAATGTAACTGATTTAATGCGATTATATATGATTCAATACGTGTATGTTTTAAAAATGCATCATATCCTAATTCTGCCATAATTTTTCCAATCAAAATACTGATAAACATTTTGCACATTTTTTTTTTATTGTTTTTTTTGCTCAAGGCTGAATATAATGTTTTTTTTGTGTGAACGTGACTCATACAGTTGTGACATGTAGTCGTCAGTGTGAATGCCACTTGAAAACAACAACGTCATGCCATGTTGTAATCTACTTTGTCATGATAGATTTTCACAAATTGCTGATCGAATGAAACTCAATCACTGCTAAAAACATTTGAAAAAAAAAATTAGGCAATTTTTTCCTCAAATTTGGATAATATTTGTGCCCCCATTTCGTAATATGATAGGCATGTCTATGCTTTGACAATATGCTCGTCAGCCAGAATTCAGAAAAAGTCTTTAACCACATCGTATTCAGTCAAGCCATAATTCATCCCCCTGGGTTTTTAATGGTTCCACGACCACCAAAATATAGTATATTTTTATCATCTTAATAATATGAATATGTAATTTTATTTTGAATATTACTACAATCGATTCATGCTTTGTTATCTGTAGAGTTACATAATTCAATTATGTTGCCATGACAACAGATTATATTACATGTATTATGATGTGCCGAGCATAGAATAATGCTTTATATAGTATAGTGTCCCAGTGTGTGTTTAGTAATTGCACCATATATAATACAGATGTGAAATACTCATCTATTCCTTTGAGGTGAAATGAATATGGAAAACCATCCCAAGCTTGAGGGCGCCATTCTACGATGTAGCTGTACGGCCATTAAAATGAAAACTCCACCAATTTCATGGGAATATTATGATATTACTAATCAGTTTGTAAAAGTATAGGGCAACGTAATAAAAATTATAATCCCATACCAGTAATCTGAAAAGTCTGCCGTCAGTCTTAAATGTCATAATAGTATTATATAGTTGAACTTTTATTATGTGTCACATCTTGGGTTTGTTTGTGGGGAAAGTAAAGTCTCATGCTCCTTCGCATTAAACCTGAAAAATCTTGTAGGTGAAATGCCTACATGTAGTTCAGAACCTCTGTGGTTAATAAAGTCAATGCTTTATTATTATTTCAGCATTACGTTTCAACAGCTTTTTAGATCATGTTTATAGTTTGATTGACAATATAATGTACTTGCATCAGAAAGAGGTGTGGCTTATATTCTCAATTATCCCAATTTTTAGAGAAAGTGCACACGCACATGTATGCTGCATGGGACCCATATTTAACACTACATGTTACGACAACCATCTCCATTTTATCTAATTATACATTCATTTATTCCTGAATACAATTATTAGTAAAGGTAGATTAAAGTTTATAGTCAAACTTTATATATGCACACCTTGTGCATGAATGTGTTTTTGTCAAATTGCTCTCAATGAAAACAAAATTGTGAAGCCAGAATGAAAACAAAATACAATATCACCAAAACAAAACAATTGTTTTGTTTTTTCACCACTGAGGAGAAAATCAGTGAAAGTTAGACCACTGTTTTGGTGATTATTTGTTTTCTATTATCAGACCATTCATACAAAATTAATGGAAATACATTCCTGTCAGACATCCAGCTGGTAAGCGTAGATGAATGATAGTTGTAAACTTGCTATGTGATAAACTCCCAGCATGCATTGCGGCAAACTCCCGACATTGTCAACTTCTTCTTTTTGTCAACTTCTGAAACTTGGGTTCACAGGAATTAATGAAAAATTTGAAACTTGTGTAGCAGCATTTTTTCAATGAATGGATTAGGTTTTCTGACAGCGTACTGTGTACATGACTTGCATAAGAATGATGATAATGAAGTTCGTTTGTGGAAATAAAATAAAATATTCAGTACATAGAATTGATAGACATCTAATGTAGTGTTATCAACATCTGACGGTGTCATAAGTCCACAAATCTGGATCAAAGTGATGGCACATTGAGAATTCTAATACCTCTGCACCTGACTCAAAAAGAACCGATATATGCTTATTTTACACTAGATGATTGTGATATACATATTATTGCAGTTAATAACTGTGTACAAGTGCATACACATATTATATATATATATATACA